AACTCCTCAAACTCAACACACACAAAACAGATAATCACATCAAAAAATGGGCAGAAGACATGAGCAGACACTTCTCCAAAGAAGACATACAAATGGCATGGAAAAATGTTCATCATCACTAGCCATCAGGGAGATTCAAATCAAAGCCACATTGAGATACCACCTTACACCAGTTAGAATGGCCAAAATTAACAAGGCAGGAAACAACATGTGTTGGAGGGGATGTGGAGAAAGGGGAACCCTCTTCCACTGTTGGTGGGAATGCAAGTTGGTGCAGCCACTTTGGAAAATAGGGTGGAGATTCCTTAAGAAATCAAAAATAGAGCTTCCCTATGACCCTGCCATTGCACTACTGGGTATTTACTCCAAAGATACACATGTAGTGAAAAGAAGGGCCATCTATACCCCAACGTTCATAGCAGCAATGGCTACAGTCGCCAAACTGTGCAAAGAACCAAGATGCCCTTCAACGACGAATGGATAAGGAAGATGTGGTCCATATATACTATGGAGTATTATGCCTCTGTCAGAAAGGATGAATACCCAACTTTTGTAGCAACATGGACGGGACTGGAGGAGATTATGCTGAGTGAAATAAGTCAAGCCGAGAGAGTCAATTATCATATGGTTTCACTTATTTTGGAGCATAAGAAATAACATGGAGGACATGGGGAGATGGAGAGGAGAAGAAAGTTGAGGGAAATTGGAGGGGGAGATGAACCATGAGAGACTGTGGACTCTGAAAAATAATCTGAGGGTTTTGCAGGGGCAGGGGATGGAAGGTTGGGTGAGCCTGGTGGTGGGTATTAAGGAGGGCACGTATTGCATGGAGCACTGGGTGTGGTGCATAAACAATGTATTCTGGAACACTGAAAAGAAATTAAAAAGAAGATGTGGTCCATATATACAATGGAATATTACTCAGCCATCAGAAAGGAGGAATACCCAACTTTTGTATCAACATGGACAGGACTGGAGGAGATTGTGCTGAGTGAAATAAATCAAGCAGAGAAAGTCAATTACATATGGTTTCACTTATTAGTGGAGCATAGGGAATAACATGGAGGACATGGGGAGATGGAGAGGAGAAGGGAATTGAGGGAAATCGGAGGGGGAGATGAACCATGAGAGACTGTGGACTCTGAGAAACAAACTGAGGGTTTTGGAGGGGAGAAGGGTGGGGGGGGTTAAGTGAGGCTGGCAGTGGGTATTAAGGAGGGCACAGATTGCATGGAGCACAGGGTGTGGTGCATAAACAATGAATTCTGGAACACTGAAAAGAAATTTAAAAAATAAAAATTTTTTAAAAAGAATTTAGTCAAAAACCAAAACTTACCTATGATAAACACAAAATAAACATCTGAATGGCACCTTTGTATTTTCTTTAGACTCTCTCCCGGCATATCTACTTCGTACTTTCTTCTCTACCCCAATTATTTCACTAAATCTTCACAAATTTGTAATTTAAGAAACAGAACAAATGACTAAAGGAAAAGAGAGAGAGAGAAAGAGGGAGGGAGGGAGAGAAAAACTAGGAAACAGACTCTTAACTCTAGGGAATATACTGATGGTCACGGGGGGGGGGGGGGGAATGGGGGAAACAGGTGATGGAAATTAAGGAGGGCACTTGTTCCGATGAGCACCAGGTGAGGTCTGGAATTGCTGAATCCCTATATTGTACAACTGAAACTAATACAACACTGTGTTAACTATCCTGCAATTTAAATAAAATTTTAAAAAACCCCAAAAATGCAAGAATCTCCACAAAATTCTGAGAATGGCATTTATATTTGTTCCTATTTACCAGGTGAGAAAGTAGGGAATTAGAAAAACTAATGGCTGCTCCACAATCTTACAGCAAGTTAGCAACAGAGCTGCGACCCATTCTGATGCCTAATGGCTAGTGATCTAATATCATGGGACTATTTAAAAGTCAAATCTGCTTTTAGATTTGAGATATAATTCACAGTCTACAAGAAATTTATCCTTTTGCAGTGTACGGTTCAGTGACTCTGGGTATTTTCACGAGCTTGTCCAACCAGCACTTCTATCTCATTCTGGAACATTCTCACCACTTCCAGAAATAGCCCTGGCACCCATCAGCACTCATTCTCTTTCCTCAAGCTTCTGGCAACCATTAATCTACATTCTGTTTCTATGAATTTACTTAGTTTGCACATTTCCTAGGAGAGGACTTATTCATATAAATATGTGGGCTTTTGTGTCTGACTTCCTTCACCCACTGTAATGTTTTCAAGTTCCACTCATGTTGTAGCAAGTATCCTGGGATTCAAGGGTTGAAAGACAACCTAGACACCCCCTACCAAGTCTTCTCAATTTGCAGATGGGGAAACTGAGGCCTGAGATAGCCCACAGAGTTAGTGGCACCCAAGTCCCCTACTGCCTAATGCTGTTATTTTCACTACACCACAACCACCAAGACAATCAGCATAATAAAGAAGAGCTTCCACAAATAAATAAAAACATTAATGTGATATGCCATATATTAGAAAGAACAAAACATAAGGTAATAAAAGCTGGTATTTTACTAACTATTGTCATACTCAGTGAGGAGTCCCACAGGTCATTTGTTTCACGGGATGTGGGAATGGTACTCAATGCGCAGGCAGGAAAACTGGGCATAAGTCTGAAGTCAGTGTTTGCTCTCTCTGAACAAAGGTTATGATTTAAAAAGCCAAGTCTGAATTACCCTTAGTGAAAGTTCCATATTTTCTGCTCCCGAGAGTTTCATGTCTCTGTCGTACTGTCCAATCTCGTTAAAATAATGCCTATTTATAGCAAAAATTCCTCCAGCCATTGCAGGCGACCTAAAAAGGACACATAAATATTAAATCACAGACTCAGTCATTCTGGATTTTTTGCCAAAATTATACTGAATATTAGCAGTAACATAAAAACTAGAAAATAGCACAATACTGATACAAAAATTGTTAATATATATTTAGGAGAACACGGCCTAAGCAAAACCAAGAGTCCCACACTTCACCAACTCCGCCACCAAGGCACCCCTGCAGTAACTTTTACTTAGCTCTCAACGAATTGTATAGTGACATATTCTAAATGTTGTCTTCTTCTTGAGAGGGAACATCATCTTTAGAATGTGAGTTTCCCCTGGGGACAAATATTGAATTGGGGATTAGAGTTTACAAATCCCCCTTTCCAAGCACATTAAGTGTGTTACATTTACTTTTGGGAAAACACAATGTTACAAAGCATCTTTTTTTGGTCCACCAATAGCAGGGCCCAATAACACCAAAGTAAGTAGTTTGAAAAAGATTACACGTTCATCTACTCATTCATTTTTTTAAAAAGTAGGTATTAAACACCTATGATGTGTTTGAGATAAATTAGTGAATCAACAGGTCAAGGCCCCAGCTCGTACGGGGGCAAGGGTGGAAAGAGGGACCCCAGTGTCACCGTGGTCTTGGAGGAAGAGGATGGGATTGTGGATAAGCGTCCAGCGGTGAATGAGATGTGATCCAACTCCTGATGTATTTTGAAGATGGAACCAGCAGATTTGCTTATGAGTGGGATGTGGGTGGAGGAGGAAGAGAAGAGTGAAGATCAACCCCAGCATTTTGGCCTGGGTACCTGGAAGGTAGAGTTGCCGTGCACTGAGATGGGGATGCTAGGGGGTGGGGGTAGATTTTGGTGGAAAGATTCAGCTGGGGACATGTTTGAGGTGTCGAGTCAGCATTCAAGTAGAGATGCCAGTAGGCAGTTGGAGGGAAGAGTCTGGCACTGGGCGAGCAGCCGGGGCTGGAGACAGAACTCTGGGAGTCCTCAGCTTAAGATAGGCAAGAAGCGCTTCCTGAGAGTGGGGAGGCGGAGAAGAGGATCAAGAACTGAGGTTGGAGAGAAGACAGGAATCGAAGAATCGGCAAAGGAGATGGGAGCGAGCAGATGGGGTGGGGGGTGATTAGAAGGAAGACCTGGAGATTGTACTGATCTGGAGTTCAAGGGATATATACAGTATATACCCAGGATATACAGTGTATAATGCACGGAGCATACAATATATGAGGTATCAACTGTCTATGGTATCAGTAAGGCTTTCAGTCAACACTAGGCTCTTAGTCGTTAGGGAATTGGGGCGTCAAAAGCTACATTCAGAGTTTTGACTGCACGGGGTGGTCAGTGTGTCTAACTCCTGTGTCGTTCAAGGTGAACTGTACGTTATAACACATGTATCGTGTATGATACATATTCTATAAATGATTGGTATCATGCTAAGTTTTTTATGGCTTGATTTTTTATTTAGCATATTGTGAGAATTTTCCTTTTATAGTAATTAGCTTTCAAAAAACTTTAGGTAATATTCTACAAAGTATGATTATACTTTTTAACCATTTCACTATGAACATTTATGTTGTTTTTATTTTTTAACTAATATAAATGTCGCTGTGATAGATGTCTCTGTACTTACTTCTCATTAACTCCTTAGGGAAGTGTTTCAAGAAGCGGAATTATTGCATTGTAGAATAACATTTATAAGATTTTTAATGTATATTAATGTATTAATTTTAATGTATATTAATATAATGTCAAATCGTTTTCAAAAGCATGTGTAACTATATCTATACTCATAGCGTATTCAAATTCCAAAAATGTTACTACTGAGCAAATACCAGGAGTAGTTTTCCTATTGAAATTTTTAGAGCCTAAAGCATAACTGATATGTGATACAGGGAAATACTATAAAATTATGTCAATTTTTTTGTAAATAGAATACTGCAACTACTTTTCCTGAAAGTAACTTCATTTTAATTAAATAAGTTCATTTTGAGATGAACTCCAAATGTTGATGCTTTTTAAAAAATTTTTGAGTAAATCATTATTTTTACATATTTAATGTTGTTTAAATGAAGTGTATCTTTACTCTTTTTCATTCTGAAGTCTGGGGGACGCCTGGGTGGCTCATTCGGTTAAGCACCTAGCTCTTGATTTCAGCTCAGGTCATGATCCCAGGGTCATGAGATCGAGCCCTGTGTAAGGCTCCCTGTAATCAGCTCGGGATTCTCTCCCTCTCCCTCTGCCCCTCCCTACCCCACTCATTCTGAAGTCTGGAACAGTAAAATAGCAACCATTGATACTGATCACCTCCCCCGTGTCAGCCCTTAGGTTATGTTTCTTTTTTAAAAATTATTTTTATTAACATATAATGTATTATTTGCCCCAGGGGTACAGGTCTGTGCATCATCAGGCTTACACATTTCACAGCACTCACCATAGCACATACCCTCCCCCAGTGTCCATCACCCAACCACCTTATTCCTACCCCAACCCCGCAGCACTGGGTTATGTTCTTTACAAGCATTGGCCCATTTAATCTCTTCGATAATCTCGAGAGGTATGCATTTTATTATCATCATTTTACAGATGAAGATAGTGAAGCTGAGAGAGGCGACTGGCCCAGCAGAGGGCGGCCTTATTGCACAACTCCGGGGATGCCAACCACCAATAATCTTTGTGAACAGGGCCTCCTGGAGATGTGCAGTACACAGCCCATACAGCTGTACACAGCAGTCCTGAACAGCTAACAAGTGGTGGTTGGAGCAGAGCAAAAATGAGTTATACACTGGAAGGTGTATGAAGCGCTCTATTGCTCTAAAAACAAAGACATTTGGTGACATCTCCAAAGAAGGGTTTTAAGAAAACTAATGTAGCAACAGAGAAACTGGCATGAGGGAGTGGAGACTGCAGGCCAGCTTGTCCCTTACAGTGTAGAGGCCAAACCCAGGACAGTGAGGGCCTAGACCATGGGGACAGGCAGAGAGATGGAGAGATGTCCTATGAGAGTCATCACAAATGCTAAGTCCCCTGGAGCTGGTTAATCACTGAATTGGAGTAGGCAGTGGCAGACCACAGGTGTAGTCAGGCTTCATGGCTGCGTAGTACTCCACTATGGTTCCAGCATAAAGTACTAAATAATCTCCCAGTTACTCCTTCCGGTTCTTAATGTTTATTTCATCCTTGAATCTGGAGGCCAGGCTGTGTCCCAGGAGTAAGGGGCTCAGGGCAGGGGCAGTTACTGGGACCAAGGGAAGTAATAAAGATTTGGAATACCGACTGGGCAGGGAATGAGTGCATAAAGAGATGGCAGACCAGCATGAGACTGGAGATCATCCATGCATTGAAGCATTGGCTCACATCTTTTAAAGGAACAAAGAAAGCAGAAGGTGAACTTGATCAGACTTGGAGGTTCGCAAGGTTGCTGCGGCAGGCTGGAGGTCCTCGCAAGAAAAGCCACAGAAGACGAATGAAATCATTGGGGCGCCTGGGGGGCTCGATTCAGTTGATCATCTGCCTTCAGCTCGGGTCATGATCTCAGGGTCCTGGGATGGACCCCACATTGGGCTCCTTGCCCAACGAGGAGCCCGCTTCTCCCTCTCCTGCTGCTGCTCCCCCTGCTGTGCTCGCTCGCTCTCTCAAGTAAATAAATAAAATCTTTAAAAAGAGAGAAGAAAGAAACCATGAGGGGGAGAAACAGAAATCAAAGAACTGGAGATCCTGCTGATGTCCAGTGAGTAGGTGGGCATGTGTGAGTAGGGCATAGCAGGGAAAAACTAGGAACATCTTGGGCCGTGGCCCAAGAGACAGATATCCAGTAATTTAGAAGATGAAAGGTCCAGGACATGGCTATAGGAATAATAATAGCTAACAATGATAAACACTGATGTAGTACTTATCATGGACAGATACTGTTCTAAGCTTTGATATATACTAAGTCATTCTCACAACAACACTGTGAAGTATGATTAACCTCTAGACTTCCCACATAAGGAAATAAGGTGCAGGGAGGTTAAGTAACTTGCACAAGTTCCCAGAGCTCTAGTTAAACTAAAATAGAGACAAAGATCAAGGACTTGCTAGGCTACAGTGTTAGAAAATTTACTTGCGTAATTTGCATAACACAGAGGTTGGTAGTAGAGGAACAGGTGGAGCCGGGCATCAGTTATCAGTAAATGTTGGAGGGGGGGGAGGCTGGAGGAAGTCTCTTCGGAAATAGCCTCACAGATGAAGTTAAAAGTCACAACATCAAATTGTTCTCATTTAGAAATACATTTTCCAAGACTAATAATTGAAATAATAGGAATAATAATAATAGGAAATAATAATAGGAAAATTGTATTCATATCTATAAAATTATAGATGAAAGCACTTAGATAAATGTTTTATATATGAATTTAGCCGAGATTTCTACCTTTTCTGGGCTATCCACAGTACTAGAATTTTGTTCCTTGACCACATGCAATTTCCTCCTGAGAACCAAGTCCACATTCTAAAGACGGACACCTGAAACCAGAGGGACACTGTCCATGGCAGTGTTCTTAACTGGACTGAGATTCTCATTTCCAATCAAAGAAACTAAAAACCTACCAAATTATATTATTATAGACTTTTAGAAACAAGATAAACAACAAAAGAGTTCTCATTAAGCCCAAGAAATTGAAAGAACCATCTCTGAAATCTATTTTTTCCCTAGGTCCCAATACATATTCCCATAACCTGAAGAAATGTCCTACCGGATGGGTCTAGTGGATCCTTCTGGTCCATCCGTCTCATAAGAGAAAACGTTATCCCATTTAAATTCTAGATGCCAGTTGAAAGCACCCCTTACCGCCGGAGAGGGCCTGTACTCTAGGGTTTCGTGGTCGATGGGATCTATCAGAGGACACACCACCATTCTGGGGTCCTTGGCAATGGCATGCAGCAAGGGCTGCAGCCACACACGATTCACCTCACAATGGCTATCCAGGAACACGAGCACATCCCCTAAGGAGGCAAGAACAGGTTAATGTTAGTGCATTTGGCTAAGACAGCTGACAGCCCAAATCCAAGTTCAGTGCAAGGAGTATTTGTTAAGCGTTCACTGTGTTTGGCTTTTCAAGTGCTTCCAGATTCACTGGGGGTGAGTGGGGACTGGAAACACATAACTTTATTTGGTACCATGTCATGTACCATGATGTGCCATCGATGTTCAGAAGAAGCTGGTGAATTGTGGGTGAGAGAATGGTTTGGGGAAGATTCTGAAGAAGCAGGTGTAACTGAGTTGGGCTTTAATTAAAAATAATTATGCTAAGTATTTTTGCTCTTGAGTTCAAGTTTAATGAACGTCTGCTTAGTGAACATGGGGGAAATCGGCATGGCCAAAATGAAGAATACATGTTGTTGGGACGCCTGGGTGGCTCAGTTGGTTGGATGACTGCCTTCAGCTCAGGCCATGATCCTGGAGTTCCGGGATCGAGTCCCGCATCGGGCTCCCGGCTCCGCAGGGAGTCTGCTTCTCTCTCTGACCTTCTCCTCACTCATGCTCTCTCTCACTGTCTCTCTCTCAAACAAATAAATAAAATCTTTAAAAAAAAAAAAAAGAATACATGTTGTTAAAGTACCTTAATGGGCTCAAATTGGAAGGGACCTCAAAATTCAGGTACAGAGTTTGGATAAAATCATAGGAAGGTATGAGAAACATTCCACGGTTGATCAGAAGACTTAATGTTGTCTAATCTCCAAAGTGATCTATAGATTTAGTATAATTCTTATCAAAATTGCACCTGGTTCTTTTGAAGAAACTGATCCTAAATTTCATATGGAAAGGCAAAGAACCCACATTAGCTAAAATGATCTTGAAAAAGAACAAAGTTGAAGGACTTCTGGATTTTAAAACTTACTACAAAGCTGTAATAATAAAACAGTATGACACTGGCATAGGGATAAGGAAGAGATCAAAGGGATAGAATTGAGAGTATAGAAATAAACCAAACATTTGTGGTTAGTTGACATTTGACAAGGCTGCCGAGCCAGTTCAGTGGGGGAAAGAATTAATCTCTTCAGTGAATGGTCCCAACACATCTGGGTATCCACATGAAAAAGAGGGGTGCCTGGGTGGCTCAGTTGGTTAAGCGTCTGACTTTTGATTTCATCTCAGGTCTTGATCTCAGGGTCATGAGTTCAAGCCCTGTGCTGGGCTCCACACTGGGCATGGAGCCTGCTTAAGAGAAAAGAGGAGAGAAGAGAAGAGAAGAGAAGAGAAGAGAAGAGAAGAGAAGAAAAGAAAAAGAAAAAGAATGAAGTTGGGCCCCCTCATGGCAAACACAAAAACTAAGTCAAATGAATCACAGACTTAAAATGTCAGAACTAAAACTATAAAACTCTTAGAAGAAAACAGAAGCATATGCTGACCTCAGGTTAGATGATTTCTTAGATGTGACACCAAAAATACAAGTGACAAAAGGAAAAATAAATAGGACTTCACAAAAATTAAAAACTTTTTGTTTTTAAGCAGACACCATAAAGTTGAAAAAAATCCACAAAATGGGAGAAATTATTTGAAAATCACACATTTGATAAAGGACTTGCATCCAGAATATGTAAGGAACTCTTACAACTCGATAATAATAAAAAAAGATAATCTAACTTAAAAAATGGGCAAAGGAGGGGCATCTGGGTGGCTCAGTCAGTGAAACATCCTACTCTTTATCTGATCAGGGTTGTGAGTTCAAGCCCCGTGTTGGGCTCCATGGTAGGAGTGGGGATTACTTAAAAAAAAAAAAAAATGGGCAAAGGCTTTGAAAAGACGTTTCCCCAAAGAAGATATACAAATGGCTAAGAAGCATATGAAAAGGTGCTCAACATCTTTAATCATTAGGAAAATGCTAACAAAATCATAGTGAGATAATATTTCATATCCACTAGGACAGCTATAATCAGAAAGGCAGCCAATCACAGATGTTAATGAAATTGCGGAGGAATTGGAACCCTTGTCCATTGCTGACAGCAATGTAAAATGTTGCAGTCTCTTCCAAACATTATGTAGTAGTTCTTCAGAAGCTAAGCATACATTTGCCATACAGCCCAACATTCTACATAATGGGTACACAAATACCCCAAAGAAAGAAAACTTAGGTTTATACAAAGTCTTGTATGTGAATGCTCATAGCAATATTCTTCCTAAGAGTAAAAGAGGCGTAACTCAAGTGCCCATGAATGGATGAATGGATAAACAAAATGGGAAACATCCACATAATGGGACATTATTTGGCAACAAGAGGGAATGAAATACTGACCCATGCTATGACATGGAAACATCACGCTAAATGAAAGGAACCAGTCACAAGAGACCATATAGGATATAATTCCATTAAATGAAGTGCCTAGAGTAGGTAAAAAAAAATTAATGTGTAGAAGGTAGATTAATGGTTTTGGAGGATTTGGTGGAGGGGAAGAGGAATGGGAGGAGAGGCGATGGCAATTCAGTTTCTTTGTAGTGCAAAAAAAGTTCTAAAACTAGGTCATGGTGATGGTTCCATAACCCCGTGAATATAGTGAAAAACACTGCATTGCATACATTAATGGGTGAATTACAGGTGAATTATCTCAATAAATCCACAAACATCCTTAGGAAAGAAAGAGTACATCCTCTACTTTTTAACTCAATTACAAATATTCTTATGTGCGATTCACTTGGTATTTTAAATCATTTTTTAAAAAAGATTTTATTTATTTATTTGACAGACAGAGATCACAAGTAGGCAGAGAGGCAGGCAGAGAGAGAGAGGGAAGCAGGCTTCCCGCCCAGCAGAGAGCCCGAGGTGGGGCTCAATCCCAGGACCCTGAGATCATGACCTGAGCTGAAGGTAGAGGCTTTAACCCACTGAGCCACCCAGGTGCCCTGATATTTTAAATCATTAAAAGTGACAGAAACTTGATCCCTCAGCCCACTGGTTTCTTTTCTTTTCTTTCTTTTTTTAAAGATTTTATTTATTTATTTGACACAGAGAGAGACGGCAAAAGAGGGAACACAAGCAGGAGAAGCAGGAGAGGGAGAACAGGTTTCCTGCCAAACAGGGAGCCCAATGCTGGGCTCGATCCCAGGTCTCTGGGATCCTGACCTGAGCTGAAGGCAGATGCTTAACAACTGAGCCATCTGGGCACCCCTCAGCTCACCAGTTTCTTACCGACACACCCAAAATAGCACTACATGCTCATATGTATTCTACTGACTCCTTGAATAAGCAGGAGTCTTCGGAAGAGCCACTGTATTCTGTTCCTTTTTTTTTTTTTTTAAGATTTTATTTATTTATTTTACAGAAAAAGAGAGAGAGAGAGAGATCACAAGCAGGCAGAGAGGCAGGCAGAGGCGGGGGGAGCAGGCTCCCCACTGAGCAGGGAGCCCAATGTGGGACTCAATCTCAGGACCCTGAGATCATGACCTGAGCTGAAGGCAGAGGCTTAACACACTGAGCCACCCAGGCACCCCTATTCTGTTCCTTTTAATCCACAGGGAGGACTGGTCCTTTCCCTGCCCTTGGTTACAAACCTGAGCTGGTGCAAGACTTCCCAGGTTACTCTTTGGTTCATTGAAAGTCTCACAGTTCCTTTAAGTTGGAAACACTGTCTCAGTTCAGCCATGAGGATTTCCAGTCCCCTGTTACAACCCAAACTTGGGCGACTGCCTGCAAAACGGCTCATTGTCCCTCCGCCCCTCCCCCCCAGCTAGGGGGGGATACATGAAAACGGGCTCAACATCACTCATCATCAGGGGACCGTGAATCAAAACCACAGTTACGATACTACTTCACACCCGGTAGAATATCTATTGTTAAAAGGACAAGAACTAAGAAGTGCTGGCGAGGATATGGAGAAAACAACCCTTGTGCTGTTTGTGGGGATGTAAACTGGCGCAGCCCACTACAGAAAATACTATGGACTTTCCTCAAAAAATGATAAAATGGAATTAATCGAGCAATTGCACTTGTGGGTATACAGAAGGAAATGAAACTGCGATCCTGAAGAGTCACCTGGACTCCATTCACTGCAGCGTTATTTACAATAGCCGAGATGTAGAAACAGCCCTGAGTGTCCACCGACAGATGAAGGGATGTACACGACTGGGTATTATTATTGCATCAGCTGGAAAAAAGAAGGAAATCCTGCCACTTGTGACATGGATGGACTGTGAAGGCATTAAGCTAAGTGAAGTAAGTCAGAGAAAGAGGAATACCATATGATCTTACTTATATGTGGAATCTATGAAAGACCCTGAACTCTGAGGGTCAGAGAACAGACTGATGGTTGCCAGAGTGCGGGGGTGGGTGAGGTCGGGGAAGGTGGTCAACAGGTTCAGATGTTATAAGATGAATAAGTTCTGGGATGTAATGTACAACTCGGTGACTATAGTTAACAATTCTGCATTGTATATTTGAAGATTGCGAAGAGAACAAATCTTAAAAGTTCTCACATCACAAGAAAAAAAAAGTAACTATGGGAGGTAAGGAATGCTAACTAGGGTTAATGTGGCCATCGTTCCAAAATACATACACGTATCACATCATTATGTCGTATACCGGACATGAATACAATGTTGGATGCCAACTGTAGCTCACTTTAAAAAAACAAAACATCTTTTTAAAAGTATAACTAGTGAGGTTGAACTATTTTTAGGCCATTAGCCATTTGTAAATAAAACGTTTATATCCTATGCCCACTCAGGTGTTGGAACGCTGGGGCTTCTTTTTTTTTTCTAATGGCTTTGTAGACACACTTTACATACTGAGAATATTAATTTTTTCCACGGACGTTGTACTAATTCCCCTAGTCTATTGTTATTTAATTTTATCATTTTTTTTTGTTCACAACAGGTTTACTGTTTTGGTAGTCAGCTCTGTCCTTTCCCTCAGGTTTAAAGCTTTGAAATTTTGTTATTCATTGAACAGGTGAGTATTGATCTCAGTTTTCTTTCTGTAATTTTAAAATTCTTTTATTAATTTAATGAT